CAACTTGGCTTTACAAAGTCTTAAAACATAATTAATATTAATTACCCTTTTAGGAAATAATAAATATACTTAATAATAATCATGTACTAAAGTAATAAATAATTTTTTTTTAAATGATTTTAGTTCTTCCCAAACAATACGATTCCAGGCCACCATGTTTTATCAACTTTCCGGAAGTATTTTCTGTGTTTTTTCATCCATTTCCGTTTCCCATCAATGATATTGTGTTCACTTTTTTTCTTTTTCATTATACTTCTTACCCTACTGGCAGCCATTTTTCATACCCAGTACAACACATCTTTGAATCATCCACCTAAACACAAGTTCTGTTGAGTTTTATTAAGATTTTATGATTAATAGTTTAACTAGATTTGAACGAATTTATAATATCTCACTTTAATTTTACAAATTCGATAATATTTTTTTAGCTCGTTACTAGTGAAATTAATTTTGACAGATTTTAAATAAATTGTTTTACTTGAATTATACCAAATGAATGTTTTTTTCAAATAATTGATTAACTAAAATAACTTGTAAATTTGCTAGGGAAACTATAACACTGCACATTCCGCTAAAATTGTCAGCCCCACCAAAACAAAACCATACCATACCACTCATCCGTTCTTAAAAATTAGAAAAAACCTCATTCTATTTGTTTAAATCATTTCAAATTTTAACCAGGAAATATTTTAGTGAATTAGGGCAAGACATTATCCCCAAAATGATGTTTCAAAGTTCAATTAAAAGAGAAAATTAACTATAAACTGTTTACTTTAACGTCTAACTTAAACAATGACGTCAATTTGCATAGACCTGTATTTAAAGTGTGTACAAATGTAAACGATATGAAAACCATTTTATTATTATAATGTAAGTAAAAATAATATTATTGAATAAATAAATGAATAAATTGTATTTAGCTAGTTTGTATATCAAATTATTCTATATATTTGATATAAATAATAAAATTTCATGGTTATTACATAAATTTACTTTTCAGATTTCTTCTGTTTATGTTTTTCGATGCTAACTTAACATATTTTCATTGTTTAGTTAAATTTTAATTAAATTCGCTTTAATTTCGTACTAATATCAGCCAGAATTATGACGGCCAGCGTTTTAGTGCATTTATTTAATTTTGTTTGTGCTCCAGTTAAGATTTTGTTAAAATTTTCAAATAAAAAGGTTCTGAAAAGATCATTCAAAAAGTGCATCTGGTTTGTTTTTTTTTTGTTCTTTTAACTTTGATTCCATAGTAAATTTTATTTGTCTGAATGAATTTATTAACCAACACTAACATCATATCAAAATAAATAAATATATAATTATAAATAATATTATTTATTAATTATAATAAGTATGTATGTGCATTGGCCATATTATTTATTATTTAAGTTTAACATTTTAATTTATAAATTAATTTAATTCAATTTTCAATACAGCAAAATAATCTTAATTTAAATAATTTCTTTACTTAGCACTGTCCAGCAGATAAACCGATTTTTAATAGTAAACCTTATTCTGATGGTTCTAATTAGTTTTTGCGTCTCCATACTAATCGTTAATACTGGTCTTCTTTGGGACCATTACAAGGTATTGATGATGATGATGATGTCTGTGGTTATGATTATAATGATGTCAATGGTAATGATTATGATGATGATGATTATGAAGATTAATGACTGTGCTTGTGATTATGAAGATGATAATGATTTTGTTATAAAAGATGGTGATTATTATTATTATTATTGAGATTATGATGGTGAAGATGGTTGTTAATGGTAATGATTATGATGTCTGCTTAATAATAATTAATTATTTGCAATTTATTTAATATTTCAAATAATATTATCAATTTTTCTATAGTATGGACACGAGCAATATTTTGAATTGAGTGATTTGGTGGATATCTTGGAGCAGAAAAAATGTCACATACCTCAGCAAACAACATCAACATTAATGGATAATATAACTGTCAATACTAGCTTTTATATGTGGTAGTGTCTGTCTGTGTGTGTGTGTTTGTTTGCTTGTGTGTGTGTGTTGGTTTGTGTCTGTGTGTCACCTGCAAAAACATTATCATAATCGATAAGTACAACATTAACAAAAAGTTCAACTGTTAATATTAGTTTTTATGCATTGTCATGTTTGTACATCTTTCTCTGTATGCGTGTATGTGTGTGTGTGCCTGTGTGTGCATGAATGTTTGCGTTTCTTTTTATTTTTTTTGTTTATTATGTATGTATATATTCTTGAAAAGCTATTACACTACACATCAAGTGTTTAGTTACTTATGCATTCCAATATTTTTATAACTGTTTTTTTGTCAGTATTTTTACTCAAGTTTTTTTATTTACTGTTCGTAGTATATTTACACACGCACACTTGCACACACACACACACTTACCAAAAATTAATCATTTAAATATATATATATATATATATATATATATGTATATATATGTATGTATGTGTATATATACATACATTTATATATATATATATATATATATATATATATATATATATATATATATATACATATTTACGTTTACCTCGATGTGTGTGTGTATGTGTGTGTGTTTGTGTGTAGATATTTGTCTGTCTGTGTGTGGAATGAAATGAAAAACGACTTTATAAAAAGATTTATGAATGAGCGAATGAATGAATGAATGAATGAATTTATTGTTTTCAAATTTTTTTTTGTGTGCCTTTAAGTTATCTACATTTTTTTTATATCATGCTAAAACAATTATTATAAATAATTTTATTATATCTAACATAATTGTTTATCGTAATAATATGATATTTATAATAATTATGTTTATTATTATCGATATTTCTACTCGTATTGAAGGTTTGATCAATTGATTTCTTTACTACTTGTGTGTGTCGTACTTAGAACTGAATTAAATAACAATCACTTCTCCTAGACTGCATAAATTCATATATATATATATATACATATATATATTGTATATATATATATATATATATATATATATATATATATATATATATATACATGAAGACAAGAATTTGGTTAGAAATATTGAGATATGTAATAGAAATCTATCTGATGCTAGAAATTTGGTAGATTTTATAAATTAATGTATTAATCATGGTCTTTTACCAGATATATATATATATATATATATATATATATATATATATATATATATATATATATATATATATACATATATATTTTTATATAAAATGAAAACAAATGATGTTTATATATATATATATATATATATATATAGAAAAAGAGAGAAAGAGAGTGAAAGAGAGGGAGAAAGGGTATTGTCTGCTGATTTTTTGTGAGTAGCTAAGGAGATAGAAGTGCCATATCTAGTGACATTGTTATTGCGCGATAATCTGTTTTGAATACAATCTGTTCGAAATTCACACTATGTTTAATTAGTAGACACACACCCGCGCTCACACACACATATATAGAGAGAGATGATAAAATTATCGTCTTAAACCTAATATTAGTTGGCGAGCAGAAAGAAAATGATAGTTTTGTAGCTATTGTTTTGACCATGGCCTCGTTTGGAGTGTATGTACCTTTTTTGGAGTGTGTGTAAGTTGTGTGGTGTGTATTACGTTGTAGGGAGTGTATGAACGTTGTGTGAGGTTGATATATATATACCCTTTGTGACACGAAAGTTTAATTGTAATATGATAAGTATGGTAAGGGGTAAGTATGAAACATTACAAGTAGCTGTCAGCCTTTCAGTCGGTCGAAACTTCATAGTTAAAAACAGAAAAAAAAAATTATTATTATTATAATTATTATTATTACTATTAATTGTTATTAATACTACAAATATCATTATTGCTACAAACCACGACACAATTACGATCAAAAGCTAAGCAGTACATGAGTTCGAGTGTTACTAAAATTATAACTGCTTATTATAGTTTAATATTAATAATATTATTGTTATTACTATTATGGTAAATTATAAATTAACATCGATATAATCTCATTTCTATGGTCACAACGAGTATGACGTCATCCTACCTACATTCACAATATTGATTGGCTATATTTTTTAAAATGTGCAAATAAATTAATGAAGAAATGAAACAAATATTGATAAAATATAACAAAAATTGACTGGTAAAAATCAGAGATTTTTATCCAAAAAATAGCATTCCGGATTTTGGGGATTTTTTTGCCCACCATATCATTACGTCACAACCAAAGATATAAAAATTACGATCACTACGTAATAATAACCAAAGGAATAAATATCTTCAGCCAGTATTTGGTTACGACTATGATGTTGAACAGTTTTCCGGTTAAGATGTCAGAATTTAAAAATTATTATTATTGTAATTATTATTTTTATTATAAAGAGTATTATTGTACATGTTCATCACAGACGCGTTGCAAATTAAATTAAATCAATTTTTTGAGAAAAATAAGAATAAATTTTATTATTTGTAATAGTTTTTCTAGACACGCACACACACACACACACACACACACACACAGACATACATATTTATGTATACACTCCAACACACACACATGTATAAAATTTGTATACACAAAAAAATACAATACTAATAATTGAGAGAGAGAGTGAGAGAGAAATATGTGAACGTAATACTTTTGAGATATGTACAAATTTAATTTCAAAATTGAAAAAAATTTTTTTTGATACCTTTGTTTATACACGATACGAAATATGTATATATATATATATATGTCTGTGTTTGTGTGTGTGCGTGTGTGTGTTTGTGTGTATGTGTGTGATTAATATCATGATGACTAGCATTGAGATTTTTAAAAAACTCTTCACAAAAGTTACTAGTACAAAAAATTGACTGACTAAAAATAGACGAAATGATGCCAAATTATCATCAAAGAAAGAATGCAAAATGGAATATCATCGAATTAATCGGTTAAAACTTTTCAAAATAATAAATAAATATTTAATTATAATTAATTATTAAATTATAATTAATTATAACAATTATTATTAGAGGTAGCATATGTAGTCGGCCGAATGGTTTAAAGTTGACTGCTTGACTTGATCAGTAGTTCTATCATCTCCTTGTTGTTCACTGTGTGATTTTTGTTATTTATATTTATTATTATTATTTATAATAATAATAATATTTATTATTATTATATATAATAATAATAATAATTATTATTATTATTTATAATCATAATAATAATTATTATTGTTATTAACAATATTTTTGTTGTGTTGTCAGTGTTTTCTCTCCAAAAATTTAAAGATGTCCTATAAACTTTAAAGTACTGAAATTTCTTTAATGAAAGTACATAACAATATCCTTCTTTCTAGCGACAATAGTAATCTTACTCTACTTCTTGCTCTTGACTTTTTCTCTGCTTTTGATAATGTTGATCATACTATTTTTTTGAGGTTGCTAGATCTCTCTTTTAATATTACTGATTCTTGTCTATCTTGGCTTTCTTCTTATCTCTGTAATCGTTTTTCTTCTGTTGTTCTTAATAATTTTACTTCTGACTTTTCTACTCTTACTTTCGGGGTACCTTAGGGCCCCCTTCTATTTGTATTGTATACTTCTGAACTACCTCGTATTATTAACATCGCGGAAATAGTGCTTTATAAACTAATTGATTGGTTGATTGATAGCCCATTTACTAATGTGTGTGTGCGCGTGTGTGTGTGTGGTGTGCGTGTGTGTGTACCAGTAATAATAAAAACGTGTGTTTTCGAGCTAGGTCACTGCAAAAGTACTGCCAATCACCTTAACCATTACACTACAGGCAAACGTACCTTGCATTAGAATAACGTTCCTTTTCTTCTTTGGCGTATCTCCATTCACCGACTGGTTCATTGACTGCGGGATTTAAAAAAAGGCAAGGCAATTTTTTAGCCATCAGAGAAAAATTATCCCAGAAAAAATCACTCAAAATAGTCAAAAAAGCAAAACAAAAAACGTATGTGATTTGAAAATATAATGTTATCGAAAAACGAAATAAAAAGCATAAAAATAATCAACTGAAGCACTATCTTTCGAAACAGAATATTAACTAAACTAGAGCAAACTAATTAATATTGGCCGGCACGTACACACACACACACACGTACACACACACACACAAACAAACAAACAAACACTTATCTACACACACCACACACACACACACATTCACACACACACATAATTTAGATATGCAAACGGATATATTATAAATTGGGGTGATGAGGGAGTTAAGAATTAAAAAAAATTTTCGTGGTTGTTAGCGTAAATCGTGGGGGCGAGGAAAGGGTATTAATATAAGTCTTAGCTAGCTCTTACTTGCTCAGCTTGATGTCAGTAACCTTAACTTTTTATGAATGGCGTGATTGAAATATATAATATGAGAAAATTAATAATTAATAGCTGAAATATTAAGTTAAATTACTATAATAAATCACACAATTGTAATGAAACCTGATTGGCTTTTTTAGAAATAATAGTTATTTTTAGTAACAATGGTTATTTTTAGTAACAATGGTTATTTTTTAGAAATAATAGTTATTTTAAGTAACGATAGTTATTAATATCGTGCTGAAGAATTGTGAAAAATCTGACAGTGAAAGAGTTCTACGCTAAAATGAAAAAATAAAATTATTTTTTAAAATACAAAACTTACATCCATTTGTAGCACATCTATATCATTGTGTTATATTTATTAAATTTTTTAATTTCTAAGAAGAAGCATCATCATAGAATTACGTTGAGCTAGGCTAAAAGATAAACTTTCAAAATTTTGAAATGAATTTCACAAATGCTTGCACCACAAAAAATGAGTTAAAACATTTAAATAAATAAATCGAAAATAAATTTTAAAACATTACCTACTTAGCATGTTAAAAATAAACATCCACTAAATCCACATAGCATACATACCTTAGTAAGAGGTTAATCTACACAACATACCCACATTAAAGTCACCGTAAAATCACACTAATACCTTCATAAAACATAATTCACATAGGCATATTAGCCCAAAAGGTTCAACAAAACCACACACATACCTTGATAAGACATTCTTTTGTCTCTTGAGCGGACGTAGAGGAAAGCTATAAGAATAAGGACAACAGAGACGAGAACAAACAGCCAGATGATATTAAAGATGTTGAGATAAGAAACTGTTGGGTCCCTCAGGTTATTGTTTGTACTTTGTTCGGTTTTGCTAAAATCGTAATTGTGGGCGCGATAGCCTATTTTCAAGGTGAAGAAAGATTTGGTGGGGTTATTTAGTTTGTATATATATATATATTTTTTGAACAGTTTTATTTACAAAAGTAAAAAGGTTCATCCTAGCAATAAAATACTAATTTATGGATGGCCCCATAAACAGATTAAATCTCAACTAATTCAACAGTTTTGAGGATAACTTTATTGGTGTATGTGTGTATGTTTATGTGTGTGTGTCTGTGTGTGTGTATTTGTAGATATAAATTGAGATATACATCATACTGACCATAGTACTTCACTTCAGAGGGGTATAACTCTGACGTGGTGTTTGACATCACTAAAATTTTATAGAAAATTTTTTAATGAATATTTTTATCTAAAAAAATTGATATCAATAATTACAAATGAATTTACGGAGTTTAAATTTGAACTTAAATAAAAAAATAAAAAACTCTTTCATACTCACTTGCCACTGAAAAGTTAAACGGCATTTGCAAACTAGAGGAGTTGAATTCAAGTGGGTCTATCTTCTCTGATTGGTCGATCGGTGGTGACGTCATCTCTAACGTCATCTGGGTCGGATCTACCAGACTTGCTTCTAGTTTTGGCAATTTTAGGGTAGAATTACTCATTTAATCACAATCCACCCATTTATCCATCCATCTATCAATCCATCCATCCATCCAGTCATTCGTCAATCCATCTATCCAGCAAATTTTTTTATCAGAAACACACTTTCTTGTCAATGAGCCGACCAAAATGAAGATAAGTAACAAATGTGAAAGAAAGCACGAACGAACAAACAAACGAATGAACAAACGAACGAACGAATGAATGAACGAACGAACGAACAAACGAAAAAACAAACCAACGAAGTAACTGCTAACCGTGAACATACAACCGTGCTGATTCCAATACATATCCGTGTGAGTTACTCGCATTACAGGTTATTGTAGCACTTGTGACAACAGCCAAACCTCTTATTTCCAGGGTTTCTCCGCTGTTGGTCCACGATAAGTTTGCATCTAGTTGGTTCATATTATTTTTTTTTTCAAATTTTTTAATGAATTTGAATTATTTTTCTGGAAAATTTCGACTACCATACTGCTGAAGATCAAGATTAATAACCTTACGCTAATTTTAAAAAACAAAACTTTTTCTATTTTTTTCATAGATAGATGTGCCAATTAAATAAAAACAAACAAAAAACAAACAAACCAATTATTGGCTGAGAGTTGAAGAACCAGTCAAAAACTGGATCAGGTGACCCGGAACAGTTGCAGGTTAAAAAAGCGGACGATCCCACAGTCACGAATTGATCTTTCATTGGAGATAACAATTTTGGCGGCTCTGGTCAACATGAGAAGAAAATATATTTGAAGTACTACTACTATTGCTACTGCTGCTGCTGCTACTACTTTTACTACCACCACTACTACTACTACTACTACTACTATTCATTCGCCTCATATCTTTTACAAATACTGCTTCTACTAATACTACCACTACTACTACTACTACCACCACTGCTACTACTACTACTACTGCTATTACTGTTGCTACTACTACTACTACTACTTCTACTATTACTACTACTACTACTACTACTAATAATAATAATAATAATAATAATAATAATAATAGCACAGACCTCCAACGGAAAGATTGATAACTGTTGTAGTCTGGCCAACTTCATTAGAAGCAACACATCTATACATCCCTTCATTAATACATTCATTTATTCATTTATTAAATGATTATCCACTTTATAACGACTGCCACTTTTTTTATTTTAACTGAATATTCAATTTTATTTTAATTGAATATTCAATTTGAATTTTCAAGTGCAGTAGCAGTAGTTGTAGTAGTAGCAGTAGTGGCAGTAGCAGCAGCAGTAGTAGTAGTAGTAGTAGCAGCAGCAGTAGTAGTAGTAATAATAGTCGTAGTCGTAGTAGTAGCTGCAGTGACAGCAGTAGCAGTAATTACACACCTCCATCTTCATTGGTAACTTTCTGTATCGTCAACCTCCTTCCACTGTCACTGATTGATCCCGAGATACGGATCATGTCTAACCTTTGCCAGCTCACTTTTGGGACTGGTCTATAAGGATTTTTTATTTCGTCGTATACGCATTCTAAATAATATGCCAATTTTTAAATAAAATATAATTCATTTAAAAGCATTTAAATCGCGTACCGCTGAAAAAAATTTATTTTTCAAGACAGTTTTTCTAAATATTTATTATTAGTAATATAAATATATTTGTGCTGTTTGAGTAAAGTTGAATGAGAAATTGAAATGGAAACACGAAGATAACCCTACTAATTAAGAACTACAAATTAAGAACTTAATTATTAAATTAAGTTCTCTAATTAATTATTAAAAACATTATTATAAAGTTGAATTTTGAAGCCAGGACCTCCCAGAGAATATGCAGATTAACGTCACGTTATTGCCGACCGTTGACTGGACTTTAGAGGAGGAGAAGATCAAATCGGGAGCATGCATGTTGTTGTATGGGTCTGAAAATTCCGGAAAAATGTATAGAAATATTTTTAATTTGTTTAGAATTTGTTTGTAATTTTTAATCCAGTTAATTTACATGAATATTCTTCACTGGTAAAATGAGCAAAAAAATAACACCAGTCAAGAGTCAACACCAACAATTTTACCGCATTTTTTCCATTACAATATAAATATAAATTTCAGAGAAAGATAACACAAAATTATGAAAAAATCATTTAAAATCACGAATAAATGTATATGAAACCCTAAAAAATAGTTTGAATTGTTGTCAAAAGCGGCACCTTTAAGCACTGTAACTCTGTAATAGCAGCCGGCAATTGTTTTTCGCAGTACGTAGTTATACGCGTCACATTTATAGACTCTGCTCGATTCCACGTCCTCCAGCGAAAGTGACGTAAACACTAAACCACCTTAATTAAGAAAATTAAACATTTAAAAATTAAGAAATTCATTGAAAATTCTCACTCATAAATGTTGATGTTGATGTATAGGAGATTATAAGAGTTTATAGGGTTTGAATATAGGAGAGACTTTAAGTCCCCACAAATTACAGATTACAGTTGTGGTAGTAGAACATTACAAAATAGTTGTTGGTATTTGTATATAATTAGAAAAAAATGTTTGGTTTTGATCATCGTCGCCGTGACAAGGCAGCGGAAATGATGAAGAAAATTTGGATTATGGAATTAGGCGGATGTAGAAAGAATCTCAAATTACAACAAAGTGCATTCCCTGCCTTGTGTGTACGACGCCACAAAGTCAACAAAAACTTCGGATTACATAAGTGTACGTAATATCTTCCATGCTATGATGCTGTAAGCACAATCGAATTATGTGGAATAGAAGTTCATACGCGTTCCTGCTTATGCAAACAAAGGAACACAAAAAATATTAATACACAAAATACTACTACTACTACTACTACTACTACTACTACTACTACTACTACTACTACTACTACTACCACTACTACCACTACTACTACTACTACTACTACTACTACTACTACTACTACTACTACTACTACTACTACTTTTATGAGTTATATTCAATTAAATTTGACTAATTGCTTCTTTAGAAAACTTAAAAAAAATTCCGTAAGAGTTTTAAAGCATTTTTCATTGCAAGCAAACACGTTTTTCACTATTAACGCAAATTAAAAGAAACCATTTTTTGATAAATGTAATCAAATAAAAAACAGACAAAAAACAAAATGGCGCCTCACCCCTTCCATCCATGGTGACACTCCCACCTCCCATCCTGACCAACTCGGCACTCGAGCTGGGCTTCCTCGACAGGAGGTCCACTGTGAACCACGTCCTTGAGGCTGGCGGGTTGCTGATCACGTGATTGCAGGGCAGAAAGAGTGGGCGGCCCTCCGTTGAGGTCTGGTTCTGAATGGCCCTTGTGTTAGTTGTCTCTTCTAGGACTGAAATGTTATTGGGTTTGATTTTGTTTTAAAATTGAAACTCGAGAAATTTTTTTGAAAATTTTCGACTTTCCTAAAAATCATACTTATATCGTTTCATCACACTTCTAACTTTTTAGAAAATAAAAATGTTCAAAACCGCCAAAAACGAACAAGCTTGCGACAGAATGGTGATGTTTGATATAGCAGCTCCGTATATGTTTGACGCAAAACACTGCAGTGAGTAATCCCCTGACAGCGACTTTGTACTGAGGTGTAGCACTGATGAATAATTAGAGGTATCGGCGTGGAAAAAAGTTTGGTCGTTTGAGTTTTGTAATTTTTCTCCGTCACAAAACCATTCAAATCTGTTTGAAATAGTATTAACAAAATATGAATTTGAGAATAAATTAAGTTTGAAATGGCGTAAAAAGTTTTTTTATAGTTATCGAAAGCAAATTTCTGTTATTATTTGCAAAGTGTTTTCCATTCTCTCTCTCTCTCTTTTTATCTCTCTCCTTCTCTCCATCTCTCTTATTACTTTTATTCGTACGTATTTGTAAGTGTGCAAGAAGGATGTGTGTTTGAAAAAACAAAAAAGCAAAAAAAGAGATAAAAGAGAGAGAGAGAGAGAGAGAGAGAAAAAATTATAAACATAAATTTATAGAGCCGACATTGGCAGCCTTTCTGTAAATTTGCTTCCCTGTGCAAGTTTTTATGCGATATTCAATGCATGTATGTATGTATGACTTTGACGTTATCTCGTGATTTACGATATCTCGTTGGTTAGTGATGGATAACTTATTATTGTTATTATTTTATTTATTTATATTTTGTTTATTATTTCCTAAATATTTCATTTCATTTTAATTAATAGAGAGGAAATTGTGGTTTCTCCTTCGTGTTACTTCCTTAGTCTTATCTAGGATTGATTATTGTAACTCGCTCTACTATGGTCTCCTAGTTCTAAACTCCATCCTTTAAGTAAAGCTTTTAACTCTGCTGCTTGTCTAGTTGCTCGTGCCCCTTTCTTTTCTCATATATCTCCATATCTTGTTCTCTTGCATTGGCTACCAATTAGATATAGAATAATTTAAAAATTTTCACATTAATGTTTAAGTCTCAATCTAAATTATTTCCTAAGTAGTTATCAGATATATTAATTGAACCTAAACGCCCCGGTTTATGATCGAATCTTGTTCTCGCTTCTTCTTAACTCGTATTAAACACTTTTTTGCTAAATCTGCATTTGCTTTTTTTGGCTCTTTTCTCTGGAACTCTCTACCTCCTTCTCTGACTACTTCTCCATCACTTACGAAGTTCAGAGCGGATCTCAAGACCCATCTGTTTGCATAATTCCCTGAGGAGCGCTGCTGAATATCGCGGAAATAGCGCTTTATAAACTAATTGATTGATTGATTGATTGATTGATTGATTGATTGATTGATTGATTGATTGATTGATTGATTGATTGATTGATTGATTGATTGATTGATTGATTGATTGATTGATTGATTGATTGATTGATTGATTGATTGATTGATTGATTGATTGATTGATTGATTGATTGATTGATTGATTGATTGATTGATTGATTGATTGATTGATTGATTGATTGATTGATTGATTGATTGATTGATTGATTGATTGATTGATTGATTGATTGATTGATTGATTGATTGATTGATTGATTGATTGATTGATTGATTGATTGATTGATTGATTGATTGATTGATTGATTGATTGATTGATTGATTGATTGATTGATTGATTGATTGATTGATTGATTGATTGATTGATTGATTGATTGATTGATTGATTGATATAATAAAATAACTGAAAAACCATTTAAGGTAATTTAAATGACTATTTTAAGGATAATAATAATAATTATTATTTGATTATTATTTAAATTATGACTAACTCGGGTGGGGGGCTAGCAAGGGCCTTGCACTGGAGCACCACCCTGTTGCCCTTAGCGTAGTACATTTGTTTTGGCGGGCCCTCCGTGATTATTGGCGGTTCTGTAAATTATGAAAATAATTATGATAATAATAATAAATATTTAATTATTTGTATTGCATATATACATACATACATACATACATCCGATCTGTGTCTTTATTGTATATATACAAACAATTTGTACTATACAAATGCGCGAACTCGCTGGCAATCATCAAATAAAAAATGCAATTCTTTCATATGCAAATTAGTATGCGATGAGAATTTGATTGAGCAATGGGCGGATGGATGGAGGGAATTGGGTCAAGGATGGTAACAAAGAAATGAATATTGGTGCGTGTATGTGTATGTCTGTGTGTGTGTATGTTTGCCTGTCTGAGTGTGGGTGTGTGTTTGTCTGTGTATGTGTATGTGTGTGAGTGGAGTGTGGTGTGTGTGTGTCCGTGTGTGTATGCCTGTCTGTGTGCGTGTATGTCTGTTTCTGTGTGGGTGGGTGTGTGTGTGTGTGTGTGTGTGTGTGTGTGTGTGGGCGGATTGGCGAGGTCACACACGTGATTTAATGCTTTTTTTTGTTAATTAGAAATATGCCAATATGATGTTTGTTTGGTGTGTGTGTGTTCTTTTGTTTGTGTCTGTGTGTGTGTGTCTGTCTGTCTCTTTGTGTGTGTGTGCCTGATAAAGTTATTTTAGCTTTCTAATTAACGCAGATGTTACTAATTTTCTTTCTTGGAAAAAAATACAAAAGCAATTAATTACTCCATATACAGCTACTGCTACTAAATGCTGCTGCTGCCACTACTACTACTATCACAACTACGGCTACAACAACAACAACAACAACTACTACTACTACTACCACTACTACTACCACTACTACTACTACCGCTACTACTATTATTATTACTTCTGTTTAAACAACTATTACTGATTCTGTTTTCACAGCTGCTGTAGCAGCTACTACTACAGCTTCAACCACTTTTGTTGCTACTACTACTGCTGCTGCTAATGTTTACACTGCTGCTGCAGCTACTACTACTGCCACTACCACAGCTGGAATAAAATTAAACTTAAATGAAAACTAATTTTTAAAAAATGCCCTAATATACCAACCAGCCATGGTGAGTAATTGGAAAAACCCGGATGTGATGAAGAAAGCGATGATGGTGTTGACGATGGTGACGACTCTGACGATGAAGATGATGTTGTTACTCATTTTTTGTGGTCATCATTATCATCATCATCATCGTTGTTGTTGTTGTTTTTGTTGTTTCGTTGTCATCATCTTCAGGGTTGTAAATGACTCGGCGAGGCAATTTGAACGCTATGTGGAGAGGATGGTTAATGTAATTGTTGCTAAAATTAATGCGATTATTATTATTTTTATAATTATTGTTATCATTATTATTCTTTTGCACTTTTTTCATAAACAACCACAACAACATCTGCAATAACATTTACAACAACAACAACAACAACAACAACATTTACAACAACATTTAAAACAACAACAACTACAACAACAACAACTACTACAACATCTACGACAACAAATCAATAATAATAATAATAATAAACGATGAAATTGCTGATATTCGGTGCGATGCAATCAAAGAAACGGTGATGATGATGATGATGACGACGACGATGATGATGATGATTGGCTGTGATGATGATGGCTGTGATGATGATGATGACGACGATGATGGTCCTCCATGTTTCGATCAATACATCTGTCCTCCCACATAGTCCAGCAGGCCATCATGTTGTTGTTGTTGTTGCTGATATTGTTTTTGTTGTTGTTGTTGATGATGATGATGTTGTTGTTGTTGATGATGTAGCTGTTGGTAGTGTTGCTGCTAATGCTGTTGATGTTGTTCTTATTGGTGTTGTTGATGTTGTTGTTGATGTTGTTGTAATTGATGTTGTTGTTGTTGATGTTGTTGTTGTTGATGTTGTTGTTGTTGATGTTGTTGTTGTTGATGATGACGATGATGCTATCATTCATGTGTTTGTTTTAATAAGACTTCTGTTATTGCGTTGAAGCCATATGGCTTAATTTTTTTTTGTTAAATTTTTGTCATTTTCTTCTTCTTTATTATTGTTATTATTATTATTATTATTATTAATAATATTTTGCAGTCTATATGTAGCAATGTAGGCGTTAGTTTTTTCCTGATTAGAAGATTGTAGGCGCTCCGAAGACGGTCAATAATTGTTGATGTTACGAAATTGGCGTTGTTGTTGTTGTGATATTGTTGTTGTGATATTGATGTTGTCGTGATGTAATGAAATTGACGTTGTTGTTTATGTTGTATATGTTGTTGTTGTTTTTTTGTAGTTGTTGTGAGGTTGATGTGATGTTGATGTTGTTGTAGATGTTGTGGTGATGTTGTTGCTGCGATGTTGTTAAAGTTGTTATTGATAATTTTGCGTTAATAAATAATGGAAGTTAACTTGCATGAAATTCTTTCGGTTGTAATCAATATACCCCCAAAACGCCCAAAAATATTGACTCAATCTACGATTTATGTGGCCATATTTGAATATAAAAAACAAAATTGAATAAAAAAATGAACGATTAAATGAACGTTTGAATGAATAAATGAATGAATAAATGAATGGATGGAAGAAGGAATAATGAATGAATAAATAAATGAATAAATGAATGGATGGAAGAATGAATAATGAATGAATAAATAAATGAATATATGAATGGATGGAAGAATGAATAATGAATAAATAAATAAATGAATAAATGAATGGATGAAAGAATGAATAATGAATGAATAAATAAATGAATGAAAGACAAACTGACTCAAGTAAATGAATGACGAAATGAAGAACAAATAAATGACTGAATGGACAAATGAAGGAATGAACAGTCGAATGGACCACGAAATAAATGAATGAATGAATGAAAAAAAGAATGAACTACTGAATAAACGAACAAATAAAAGAATGAAAAAATGAATGAATGGAGGAATGAAGGAACAGACCTATGAATCAAACACACATCATATAACACTGCCCAATGCTTTCTTATAATCAGCTATGCGGTTGCCAATCAATCTTCTTAATTGCTCGTTACTAATAACAATTATATATAACTTGGTCATTATTATTCCTATTATTAATTGGGGTAGCAGCAATAGCAGCAGCAGTATTAGCGGTTGTTGTAGCTGAAGCAGTAGTAGTAGTAGTAGTAGCAGTAGTAGTAGTAGTAGTAGTTGTAGTAGTAGTAGTAGTAGTAGTAGTAGTAGTAGTAGTAGTAGTAGTAGAGGTAGTGGTAGTAGTAGTGGTAGTAGTATTAGTAGCAGTAGTAGTAGTAGTATTATTAGCAGTAGCAGCAGTAGCAGTAGTAGTAGTAGTAGTAGTAGTAGTAGTAGTCGTCGTAGAAGTAGTAGTAGTAGTAGCAGCAGCAGCAGTGGTAGTCTATCCGCTATTTGCATACGACATCAATGACTCGGTCTTTAATTTACTTTTGATTAATATTGATGACGCAAACATGGGATAACAAATGACCAAAGACTAAAAATTTGAGTAAAGTTCAAACGGTCATTATTCAAAAATTTACCCAATAAATCAGACAGGACAACCAGACATACATAGAAATAGATATTGAATCAATTTGTGTGGAGGGATGTGAACGCGTCATCATCATTATAGTCGCCTATATCGTCATCATCTTTTTCGTCATCATTATCATCACCATCATCATCATCGCCATCATCATCATCATCTATTTTCATCATAATTCACAACAGCAGCAGAAGCAGCAGAAGCAGCAGTAGCAGCAGCAGCAGCAACATCATCATTGTCTTAATTACAAATAATTTCCTATTACTTCCAATCACGTACTGACGCGCATTTTGCATTTTTATAATAAAAATAATAATATTATAATAATAATAATTATAATAATATGAAGAAGTAGAAGAAAAAGAATCCACATCGCCATCATCATCATCATCGTCATCATTAGACCATGATACATGGATAATTATTCCATACCACTACCTGAATGTCTGTTGTTAGAGAAGGCTGTCTACATGTTGTATGTTTGTATGCATGTATATGTATGTATGTATGCATGTATATATGTATGTATGTATGTTTGTATGTGTGTTTGTATGTCCGTTTGTATGTCCGTTTGTATGTATGCAAACCCAGGTATTTTACAAGAAGATAAATACGTAAAATGTTTTTTAAATTTATCAGCCTGCAACAATCAATAAAATTATTTTCTGTATAAGTACTGTACCGTGCATGTATACATGAATGAATGAATGAATGATTGAATGATTGATTGAATAAATAAATGAATAAATTAATTAAAAAATGTACAGATGTGAGAGAAACTTAAAGATAAAAGAATGATTGATACTAAAAAAAATTGAAAAATTGCATTATTCTGCACACACGCACACACACGCACGTACACACACACGCACACCCCATTTTTATTCACCCACCTCTCTACAGAATTCTGTAGAGCGTTTTTGTATGGAGCATGACGTCACAGTGACGTACACACAAGCAACTATTTAGTGCACGCTAAATGTATTGTACAATATGCAATGCCGTCGTATGCCTGTATACCGTACGCACATCTGTGCACAGACATGAGCAAGTACGTTTGTAGAAGTTTCTGTGCGCGTGCGTATGTGCGTGTGTGCCACACATCAAAGGTTTGTCATACAGAGTTTATGTGTGCGTGTTTACGTGTGCGTAAGTGTGCTTGTTTATGTGTGTGTCTACGAGTGTCTATTTATGTGTGTGTTTTCTGTTCATTTCACGAGCTTTCACTAAAGTAAGATTTAAACAAGGAACAAAAACAAATTACACGGAAAATAACAAAAACGAAACACATACACACACACACACACAAACACAAACACACACACTCTTTCTCTCTCTCTCTCTCTCTCTCTCTATTTTTCTATCTCTCTCTCTCTCTCTCTCTCTCTCTCTTCTCTCACACACACAAAAATAAAAAATCAATTTCGTAAACACGTTAATATCACAACCCTTACAATAAAAATTTAAAATTTACCAAAAAAAACGAATAAAAATAAATTAAACAAAACCTTGAAAAAAAGACTCACTGGAGGATTTTTTCAAGAAAGCTAGCTCGTAATGTCCGAAGCTTTCGTGGCCAACAAAATAAATGTTCGTGTCATTTTATTCTTACTAATGATGATTAGTTCACAGGGTAACAAATGATGTCCCTTTTTAATTAAATTCAATTAAATTTAATTATTTGTAATTAAATATCAATTAATTTCTATTGAATTTAATTAAATTACATTATACATTTATATATAAACAACGAATTCGAATCGTATTAATTATTGGATAATAAAAATGGTCAAAAAGACGAACAATAATATCTATATGTATATAAAATATTATAATTATTATTATAATTACGTTGATAATTATGATATATTGCTAATTAAGTACTAGCAACAACAACGTCATCTTTAAAAACGTCACCGAAGCAAAACCGTTATTAAAAAAAAATGAACTGCCAAAGAAATTCAACTACTTTAGCAAAAAAAACCAACAACAACTACTACAACAAAACTATGATACCGACAACTACAATGATGAAAATGAGCCAACAACTACAACTACAACATTAGGACTGAACCAACAACTACAACAAAATTATACCATCACCACTAACAAAATTATGACATCATCAACAACTATTACAATGTTGAGACATTGACAAAGACAAAAATATCCGTGACGCCAGCACAACAACAACAGCAACAACAACAACGACAACTCTTACAGTCAGTTCGATTTCACGCTCGCTAGATTTCTTTCACGTTCATTTCAGATTACATCAACATCATATACCTATATACATAAACATATATATATATATATATATATATATATATATATATATATATATATATATATATATATATATATTGGGTTGAGTCTGTCTGATCTGCAGTTATATAAATATCTCATAGTAATGCATGTATTGTTCAATTTGCAACTGAGTTTTTTAATATATATATATATATATATATATATATATATATATATATATATATATATATTGTAAAAATTGTAGCATCATCATCATCGTCGTCGTCATCATTATCATCATCATCACCGACTGCATATAAAACGTGCACAAAATCTTGCTTTACGATTCCATGGAAACGTGACTAATGACGTCACCAACGAAGATGATGATGATGATGATGATGACAGTGGCGGTGATGATGACAATGATAATAATAAAAATAACACTAATAAAGATAATATTAATTGCGTGGATGAAGTAAAAGATGATGAAGGTGAAGATGAAAATGACGACGATGATGACAATAATGATGATCTCAACGATGATGATGAAGAGTATGACGACGACGATGATGAAGAAGATGGTGACGATTTTCTCTGCTCCTCGCTGCGTTTGTCATTTCCTTCTCAGTTTAGTTTCAGTGTGTTCATGACGAGTGCAGATTTCTGCCATGTGTTTGTGATAGTGTCCATTCTTTCATTTGTTCGTCAGTTCGTTCATTTGTTTTTTCGTTCGTTTGCTTGTTCATCCATTCACTTGATCGTTCGTACATAAATTAATTATCCCATAATTAGTTTAATATTTTTTCATGGTCTAACGTAATATTTGATAACATTTATTTGATATGCATAATTTTTTTTTATATGCTTCCATATGAAACTTTTTTATAGGCTTCGACTAGCTAGGCCAACAATCATCACCAACAACTTCGACATCTGAACGAAAAACAATGAAGAAAATTTTTTAAATGTCAAGGTCGGTTCCATTGTTGTGTGATCGTGAAATAGAAAGCATCACTTACGTGCCCGTGTAAGTAGCCTGTACAAATAAATCCTACACACACTTTGAAGAAAAAAGGATTCGTCAAGATGAAAACAAAAAGTGGGAGGAGCTAATGAAGATGATGGACACTCCGCATAGCACGTGATCAATAACCATTCCTGGCGGTCCTCAGATTTTCATGCAGGCTTTGTTTGAAAATCGTCACACACACACACATACACACGTACACACACAGACACGCACACACACACATGTCACACATGTATCGTTTTTATAAAGCTTCATCCCCGTGTTTTTGCATTAAGCAACCAACTTGAGTTATTTGAATCGCACAAATTTCGTTTAACAAATAACAACACAGTTCTCTCTATCTCTTTCTCTCCCTCTCTATCTCTCTCTCTCTCTATATATATATATATATATAGGTGTGTGTGTGTGTCTGTGTGTATGCGTGCAATATTTTACTTTCAAAATCAAAATAATTTTTTTTTTCTGTAATAGAAACGCAGAGAGCCTTTTTAAAATTTGTTCAATGCAACATTTGACCATTGATGTAGTAAACATAATTAAGGGGAATGAAGATCACACAAGGTTTCCAAAAATAGAACATCATTAACAACAACAACATTAATTACATCATTACATGATAAAAAATTCATCAACATTACATTACGTTGGAATAAATACACGCTGTTGCCACAAATACACACACACACACACCACACCACACACACACATATACATACAACACCCATACACACACACAAACATACAACGCACACATACCTATAAGCAACACACACACACAAACATATACATACATACATACAACACGCATATACATACAACACATACACAAACAACACACACACATACACACACACACATACACACACACACATACACACACACATACATACTACGACAACAACAACAAACACACATATATACATACAACACACACACACATACATACAACGACAAAAACAACAACGTGTAACATGTCAACACGTCAAATGTCGTCCAGTAATAGAACGGAAGTGCGAACGGATGGTTGGATGGTGAAAAAAAATGAATGATTGACTGACTGATTTAATGAAAGAGTAAACTGATAAATGAATAAATGGATGAATGATTGGATGAATAAACGATTGAAAGAAAGAACAAACAAATGATTGATTCAAATAAATTGAAGAAATTTGAAAAATAAATATTCTTAAAAAAATTGTCACCCCGTATCAAAAATATCAACAAAAACCATCACCAACATTCACATCATCATCATCGACAACAATAACATCACCATCACCAACCTCATCATCATCACCACCACCATCACCGACAACAACATCATCATCATCAACATTATCACAATCATCGCCAACATTCACATCACCATCATCATCAACATCATCATCACCATTAACACTATCACCACCATCACCAACAACAACATCAACAACAATATCATCATCATCGCCAACATTCACATCATCATCATCAACAACATCATCATCAGCAGCAACATCATCATCATTATTTTCATATGCTCCACACGTATGCATAAACTTTCTGCCACAACGGTATGAAGTCCAACAACGGCTCTGGAAAAAATAAAAATTATTATATTCAATTATTCATTCACTTATTTTTTCACCCATTCATTCATTCATTTATTCATTCATTCATTCATTCCTTCCTTCATTCATTCATTCATTCATTCATTCATTCATTCATTAATTCATTCATTCATTCAATCGTCCAGTCATGTGCAGTCATTTGACCAATCAATTCGGACAACGACTATAACAATAACAACAACACAAGAACAACATCTTAACAACAACAACAACAACAACAAAACATCATGAACAACGACATCATCATCATCGTCGTCATCGTCATTATCCTCTCCATCATCATCATCGTCGTCATCATCACCATCATCATCATTATCTTCATCATCATCACCTCCATCATCATCATCATCTCTATCATCATCATCATCGCCGTCGTCATCAGCCGCACCAGCCACAGCAGCAGCCACAATGGCAGCCACAACATCATCAATGACTCACTGAGAACAATATGTAGAATAGGAATCTTTCTCATTAGGAAAGCAAGGGCAAAGAAAATTTTCATCCTTCGGAAATAATAATAATAATAAATAATAATAATAATAAATAATAATAATGATATTTAACAAATAATAATAATAATATTTAACAAATAATAAAAATAATAATTACGAAATGACGATTTCAAAACCAAAAAAGACAAACCTCGAGTAGCTATCATAGAAAGGAGACCTTATGGAATAGGTAATAATAATAATAACAATTATTATTATTATGATTATAATAATAATAATTATTATTATTATTGAGACCTACCTGAGCAGGTAGAGAACCATCATCATAGTCCTCCTCTTCATCTCGACTTGTTCGACGCAGTTCAAATCCCTTGCGGTGCCGACCAGCAACAAACTGGTGTGGGACGATTCAAGAATGAATGAATGGATGGATGGATGGATGGATGAATTGATGGAAAGATGAATGGATGTATGGGTGAATAAATGAATTAATGGATGCATGAATGAATAAAGGAATGAATGGTTCAAATCCTTTGAAATTCCGACAAATAATAAACTGTAGAACGATTACAAAATGAATGATTAGATAAATGAATGAATGAATGATTGGATGAATGAATGAAATAATGAATGAATGAATGAATGAATAAATGAATAAATAGATGAATGAACGGATTGATGGATGAGTGGATGAAAGAATAGAACAGCCATTACGTAATAGAAATTTTTTTTTCAAAATACTTTAGCAAAAAAAACATTCTAATATTTAGATGAATGAATAAATGAACAAACAAATGAGAATGAATGAATGAATGAAAGAATGAATGAATGGATTGATTGACTGATAAATTACCTAGATATATCCACAGCAAATGATATCAGCCATGGTTTCCATGATTTCAAGCCACAAAGATACAGGCTTGATACTGTGTTGTTGGATGGATAGATAGGAAATGGAGTATTTATTTATCCATTTATTTATTCATTTTCACGTTCATTCATTCATGCTCTCATTTATTTATTCTTTCAATCATATGTTCTCCATTTCTCATTTTTTTGTATTGCAATCATTAAATCGTTTCATTCATTCATTGGTGCATTCAGTTGTTCATTCATTTAATAAACCAATAAACCAATCATTCATTAGTTCACTCATTCATTCACTAAAACATTCATCCATCCATTTCTTCACTAACAATGAATAATAGGCCTAGTTATGTGCATGCACTCGCCAACCAATCGCCTTGCAGATAATTGGGTCGGTTTGAAAGGTTGCGTGGTGAAATGACCGGACGACGATATCCAATCATCGCCTGGCTTGTCTTGCGTGTGATGACGACGACGATGATGAAGATGAGATGATGACTACCATAATAACAATGATGCAATAGATACCATGACAACAGCAACAACAAGTTATAGATACAATGACAACAGCAGCAATGATTGTAACAGAAGGCAGTGAGCTGGTGTAGTGGTAGCAGCGCCTGGTTCTGGCGTCGCAGTGACCAGATTCGATTGCTGAGATATCCCAGTCTATCACATGCAATGTGCGTGTGATGCGTTGATTCAGGCGTATTCATACACGCCGTGTATGTGTGTGCATGTGTATGTTTGTGTGCGTGTGTGTGTTTTTCGTGCTTTTTATTGTATTGCTGAAAATGAATAAAGACCGAGAGAGAGAAAAAGAAAGAGAGAGAAAGAGAGAGAGGAAGAGAGAGAGAGTTAATGAGATGAAGACGATGACACTCACAGAGAGATTCTGTACTTGGATATGCAGATGACTGAGTAGACATGTTGTTGTTGTTGTTGTTGTTGTTGTTGTTGCTATGGCGATCTTTCTGTTGTTGTTGATGACGGTGTTAGTTGTGGCGGTGATGAAAGTTATGAAAGTGTGAAAAACAACAGCTTCAAACGAAACAAAACAAGCAACAACAACACTTCACACAGAGCTCAACAACACTGAACAACAATAAACATTCTGTCTGGAGAAACAACAACGCAATAACCACAAACACACCATACACGTACACGAAAACAACGACAAAAACAAACAACAACTACCTACCCAAACAACAACTACCCAAACAACGAACAACAACTACTCAAACAACAAACAACAACACACACACAAACAACAAACAACAACTACCCAAACAACGAACAGCAGCTATAGAAGTGACAACAACAAACGAGCAAACACCAACAACAACCCCATCAAAGACAACGCCAAACAACAACAACAACTCCTACACACTTTCATCTTCAATGTACATAGTAATGACTGCAAATGCTGGTTTCTCTTTAGTGTTGGAGTTTCAGCGTTTGATGTCATACCACACTGAAAGTATAACAACAACATCAATCTCAACAACATCCTGAATGTAAAGAATAAAAGAATGAATGAATAAATGAATGAATGAAACAATGAATGAATGAATAGGAGAAAAAACGAATGAATGAATGAATGAATGAATAGGTTGATGGATAGATGAAAAAAAGATAGAATATAAGCTAAAAGTTTAACAACTCCAACTATAAAACTACAAAAACATTTTGAGTTTAATGAATAAATTATAGAAAGTATAAATTGATGGACACATAGATACACACACATACACAGACAAGCGCACACAAACACACAAACCAAAAAAAATTAAAACTTTCCCTAACTTAACAGCTTGAATGATGACGACAACGACCCACTTTTTAAGATCACCACCATGCTGGTAAGCAGTCACCTCGAAGAACACTTCCATCTCCTCCAGCAAGTTCAAACAAAATGATATCTTGCTAATGTTTGGGGGCTGGGAGCATTTTCATACAGTGTAATTACTAAATATCAACATTTATTATAATCAGGAGTATCATTACTAGCATCAAGAAAGAAAGAGAGAAAAAATAGAAAAAGAAAGAAGATAAAAATATAGTTATGCATGTATCCTTCACTGACCACATGGCTTTGCAATTTAGCTTTCTTCCTAAGTATGCAATCATTTAGAACGATTGTTAGGCTGATAGCAGAACTTAACAATTCTGACAGAGCTGGGGACTCTACTTTTATTAAAATTTATTATATATATTAATATTTATTTTTTTATTTTTAATTAATTTAAAATTTAAATTAATAAAATTAAATTGTTTCAATTTTAGGCACTAAATTTAACCTTTTAACGACTTGAAATTACGAGATTTCTTTATAAATTTTTTAAATCAATGAAGTGGAAGACAAGCTGTTCCAAACACTAACCCGGAACAATGTAGGTGAAGACGCGGGCGGCGTTCTCAATGGTCCCCACGAGTTCCACATTCAAGGTGACGAACTTCTTGTAAAATTCAACTAACTTCTGCATAGAATTTAAAACATTCATATTGAATTTTGTTATCTTATAACTAATTTAACGTTATTTAAATTTGTCGTCTGCTCCAGAGAAGAGGAAAACTCAAATTTAATGAAAAAACAATTAGCGAAATTTGGAATGAAAAAAATTTAAAAGTAAAAGGTGTGTTTATAATCTAAAGATGAACTTTGGTCCTAACAAATTATGTAGCGTTGTTCTTATTTTATATTGAAGCTAATTTTACCCAATTAAATCTTTAAAATAGTCTATATTTAAAAATTTATATAAAATTTAAATAAATTTTTAATTAATTACATAATTTATTATTTCAGTTATAAAGATATGCGTTTGTAATTTGATTCTTGAAAACATGAGGAACCATGGAGTTTATGATTAATTCCATTTGAACAGCTGATTTTAAAAGTTAAGTTAACATTTAACCATCATTAGCCATTGCCCGAATTTTAAAATGGTAAAAACTAAAAAATAATTTATTTTATTCAGCTTTACTGATGACAATTTGCACTTTTGAAAAATTTTACTAATTCCTAATATAATGATTTTAATGATTCTAACAAAAAAATTATAATTTTCAGCGAAGAAGTCTAGCACCTAGTCAGGCAGGTAAATTAGTTGTTGGCCCCACCTCCATCATCAACATAACCAGCAATGAAGTTGCTTCACGAAGGATTTCCATGCCAAACAGACAAACCGTTAGTTAAGTTCCCTGTTTATTGAGTTGTATAGAATAGACCAGAGATCTGCAATTTGTGTGTGTGTGACAATTGGCTGTGCAGTGTTCTATATGTGTGGTTCTTATTTTTTGATTAAATACTACACTATAGAATAGAGTATAGAGACATTGATTGATCAAATTTCATTTCAATTTCTGAACAAATAATTTATTTGTAAAATAACTATTAATTTATAATTAAATTATATTTATAAAAACAATTATATAGGGCATAGAAAATTAATCAAAAAGCTGTTTTTTTTAACAATAGCATGGTATATTTTTATAACTTTATATTTAATATTAATAAGATACCTCAATTCTATTTTATAAATTCAATAATTTAATCTGGAAAGGTCATTAAATCAAAATTAAAACGACAACGCGCCGACTCCGACAAAAACATTGATGACGATGATGACGTAGATGACGATGACGTCATCAGTGATGGTGGTGGGGATGATGATTTGCCTAAAAAATCCTCAAAAACTCCTTTGGAGTCTGTGGAAAATTTCAACAGAAGAGTTTCGCCAGCTCAACACGTAACTTTTTAGTTATTTTATACCGTTTTTTATGATCTAATTTACTTTTAAATTGATATAAATATTTTAATAATTATTTTCATTATTAAGATGACTACCATTTTAATTATTATTATTACTATTATTATTTTTTTTGTCTTTTCCAGGAAGAAATGATCAAAACAATTCTGGCCAAGCCATTTAAAATTCCAATCAACAATTATTCAGGTGTCTATTTTAATATTTCCCTTCAAAAACAGCACATTCCTAATCACTAATTCAAAAATAACACGCACCCCTGATCCAAAATTTGAAATAAATTGTTTGACTGCCTCCAGGGCCAACTCTAGCAGGTAGGGCACTGGGCATGAGACTGAGTGGTACGACCCAAGCCCTACATGACCCCTTCGAAGAGAATGCCCTGATTCTTTATGAACCTCCCAAGCAGAGTGCGCATGATCAACTGAAATTATCCAAGTATGTTCAGGTTTGATGGTGGTGTAATTGGTAGAGTGTCTGTCTTTTGTGTTGAAGTTACTGGGTTTAAATGCATGGTAGTTTTCTTTAGTGTGATGTTTATGTGGGCTGTGTTGGAGTTTTGTTGTACGCTATTTTATTAATTTGAAAATTATTTAGTGAATTCAATGGAAAATAAATTTTATTCAATTTCTAATTAGTTTAATTGTTGATTGAAATCTTTTTTTCCTCTATATAGAGAGAGTAAGTCGGTGCATGTTGTTGTTGATCCAGTGCTAACAAAAGTTCTTAGACCTCACCAAAGAGAAGTGTGTGTGTGTGTGTGTGTGCGCGCGCGTGTGTATGTGTGTGTGTGTGTGTGAGTTTGTGCGTGTTTGGGTTTCTATTCATCCTTGTGTGTGGATTTGTATGTATACTATCGTTTTGTAATCTTATTTGTGTATTTATTCATTAATTCGTCATTCATTTATTCGTCCGTTCATTCATTCATTCAATCATTTGTTCATTTATTCATCCATTCAGTAATTTGTTCGCTTGATCATTCATTCATTCACTCATTCTTTCATTCATTCATTCATTAAAATTAGGGAGTTAAGTTCATGTATGACTGTGTAACTGGAGTCCAAATTGAAGGAAGCACTGGATGTATTATGGCTGATGAAATGGTCGGTTGGTTGGTTGATTGATTGATTGATTGATTGATTGATTGATTGATTGATTGATTGATTGATTGATTGATTGATTGATTGATTGATTGATTGATTGATTGATTGATTGATTGATTGATTGATTGATTGATTGATTGATTGATTGATTGATTGATTGATTGATTGATTGATTGATTGATTGATTGATTGATTGATTGATTGATTGATTGATTGATTGATTGATTGATTGATTGATTGATTGATTGATTGATTGATTGATTGATTGATTGATTGATTGATTGATTGATTGATTGATTGATTGATTGATTGATTGATTGATTGATTGATTGATTGATTGATTGATTGATTGATTGATTGATTGATTGATTGATTGATTGATTGATTGATTGATTGATTGATTGATTGATTGATTGATTGATTGATTGATTGATTGATTGATTGATTGATTGATTGATTGATTGATTGATTGATTGATTGATTGATTGATTGATTGATTGATTGATTGATCGATCGATCGATTGATTGATTGATTGATTGATCGATCGATCGATTAATTGATTGATTGATTGATCGATTGATTGATTGGTCTAAAAGAGAGTTTCAACTTTCGTGTTATGGTGAGTATTGCTTTATATTTTCTCCATCTCAGGGTTTGGGCAAGACCCTACAATGCATTACGTTACTGTGGACTCTGCTGGTGAGCATGTTGCTTTGGTCTGAGTGAAATTTAAATGAATTACATTCAATCAATCCATTCATTCCTTCATTTATTTATCTAAAATTCTTTTTTTCATTCATTCATTCGTTTGCTTATTCAATCATTCATCCAATTTTTCATTCAAATTGGTCATCTATTAATTCATTAATCTATTCTTTTATTCATCATTTATTCAAATTGTTTTTTTTTATTCGTTCGTTCATTCACTCATTCATTCATTCACTCATTCATTCATTCAGTGTAACATTCACTTAATCACTCCATCATCAGAAGCAAGGACCAGCTTGTAAACCAACCATCGATAAGGCCATGGTAGTCGCCCCAAGTAGTCTTGTTAAAGTTGGTTGATTGGTTGGTTGGTTGGTTAGTTGGTTGTTTGGTTGATTGATTGGTTGGTCGAAAGATTTGTTGATTATGACGATATGTCTACGTTATGCGTTTGAACCTTCC